GAGTTGCTCTGCCCCGGGCTTCCTGGAATCAGCTGCTGATCAGTTTCAGCAGCAGCTGACTTGGGGACGCCTGGGGTTCTTAAGTTGATTCTGTATGTAAGTCAGAACTGGCGGTCAGTTTCAGCAGTGTCTGAATCTGGACGCCAGTTCCGACTTACATACAGATTCAACTTAAGAACAAACCTACAGTCCCTATCTTGTACGTAACCTGGGGACTGCCTGTACTGAAAGAAAGAAGTTAAGTGTTGAATCTAATTGCTTTAGAAAGCTGCTGGTTTGATGAATTTTCAGCACTTGTTAAGGGGGCTGCTTGTGTTGCTGGTGGTGCCATTTACGGACTAGTTCCTTCATGGCTGCTGCCAGCTGATTACTTAAGAACAAACCTACAGTCCCTATCTTGTACGTAACCTGGGGACTGCCTGTACTGAAAGAAAGAAGTTAAGTGTTGAATCTAATTGCTTTAGAAAGCTGCTGGTTTGATGAATTTTCAGCACTTGTTAAGGGGGCTGCTTGTGTTGCTGGTGGTGCCATTTACGGACTAGTTCCTTCATGGCTGCTGCCAGCTGATTACTAATGGGCATCACTTACTAGGGTATCTAAGGCCTCAATCCTGCATGTGGCTCTGCATGCGTGAAGCCCTTCTGAAGTCAGCAGCACTTTGCCTGGACACACAAGTTCATCTATATGGAAAAAAGTGCAAGGTAAGTGTCTCAATGCCAAACTTTTTAAAAACCTGCTTGAATTTTATTTCAAGAAAAGAAAGAAGGTACTATCCCCATTAACTGACCTTCTCATAAATCAATAATGTTACTTTATTGTATCTACATGCCAGAGATGTGCATGATGCTTGTCTATCACAGTTATGTCTGGCCAAAGTGATAGGCATTCTATGTTCTGAAACAACATACAGTAGGATGAGATAACACATATGCAGTAATGGCATTCATAGCTTTTCCCATACTAAAAGTTGATATTCACATTCAGCTTATGGTGATACAGTGACAAAAGCTGCCACTTGACAGCTGGTTGGCAACCTACATGAAATAAGTAGGTAGGGTGAGGCCAGCTCTCTGAAGATAAGCTTCCACATCACAGCCACCACTACAACTTGTTTCCTTCTTGGCAGGTTCAGACAAAACCATGGCTTGACAGGAAATAGAACTCCTCCAAATAGTCCTGCTCCAAATTCCATTAAAGGCAATGGTTTGAACTCTAGCTGAAGTCCCTTTAAGTCAAGATGCAGACAGTCAGTACTTTTTTTTTTTTGACGGTACTGCCCAGTACACAGTACCGGCACCTACAGACGCAGTATCGGTATCTCCAGTCAGAGCTCAACAACTTTTCCCTGGAGTACCTTTTTTTTTTTAAAGCACTGGAGACAGCATGGTATCCTGAAGATTGTGTTGGAGTTGCAAATTATCACTTTTCCTCATTCTTCTTGCAGGCTAAAGAGCTGAGTAGCAAATGGTGCATTTGGAGGCAGCTTAAAACAAAGTGAGGTGAGTTGTCACTCTGCTGTAGGGATAATCCAGTTATAATTCTGAATTCTAAGAAATAAAACTGTGATATGTTGCAACCTTCCAGCATGAGCATTTATGTTTTTATCTAACTTTTGTGTATGTGTGTGCAATATAAGACATATATTGGCAAGTCCTGTACAGGGATGCACATTGCTGCTGTCCATACTGCACATTTTCTGTGGATAAATATGAAAATATCAGTTTCGTCTACTGGCAAACCAGCACTTTGCACTAGCACTAAATTCACACCCACTATGCTGATACCTCACAGTGTGTGTAAGAGCATTATATATAAATATTGCATACATTACAGATGTCAAGTTTCTCCATTCCAAAGCTGATGACTCACTGTTCATTTCAAAACTAACAACTTGCAATTTTGTTTAGTCTTAACAGAGAGGGGCAAAGCAGAAGGAAGTGGTAACACTGTTCTGAAGAAATATGAATAAATCAGCCACTATCTCTTGGAATCTGTGTGGTGTTATATTGGCAATGAAGTATATTCTCAATCTCCTGTTTATTGTGAGGAGATATAATGTTGCCTGCACTATAAAAGCTTCAATGGTTTGTTAGTAAATGCTTCAGAAGAAATATGTCATCCAAACACAAAGGGTATATCTAGACTGGCAAGATTTTGCGCAAAAACTTGCTGCCTGTCTACACTGGCTGTGAGAATTTGCGCAAGAGCATGGACATTCTAATGTAAGAATTCAGTGCTTCTTGCGCGAATACCTTGATGCTCCCGCTCAGGAATAAGCCTTCTTGTGCAAGAATACTCGTGCAAGAGGGCCAGTGTAGACAGACACCTTAATTTTTTGCACAAGAAAGCCCGGTGGCTAAGATGGCCATCGGAGCTTTCTTGCGCAAAAGCGCGTCTATACTGGACACGGATGCTTTTGTGCAAAAGCACTTTTTGCGCAAAAGCATCCGTGCCAATCCAGACGCTCTTTTTCCGCAAAAGTATTTCCGCAAAATCATGCCAGTCTACACGCAGCCAAAATGTCCTGTGATGTCCATGATATTTAATCAACAAAGTGAGATTTTTCCTGCCACATGTCAATCGGGTAGCCAGATGGTTGAAACAAAAATACTGAACACCTCTTCTCCCACCCCCCAAAAAAACCAGGAAAATATTCTGTTGAAGGTTGGGGAGACCAAAGTTGTTGAGAAAAAAAAAAGGACTCCAAGGACTTATTAAGCCAAAAATAAAATAAAATAAAATAAAACAGCAAGTCCCCTTTAATAGTGAGTGCAGGGATAGGACAGGGTAGCAGTTGTGCACTAAGACCTAGGGGAAGCCTTGGTCGGCAGCCATTTTGTGCTGGCAGCCTTGTGGAACCAGGTAAGCATGGGGACTGGGGTTGGGGGTGTTGGGAGCCAGGAAGGGTTCGGGGGGGGCTGGGCACTGAGTGTTTGTAGGGTTGCCAGGTGCCTGGTATTTTCACCTCCTGGCCGGGGAAAAATTCAGAAAATACCGGACATCTTAGGTGTTTGGTATTGGCAAAAAACCCCAGCCTGTCCAGGTGAATACCGGACACCTGGTACCCCTACATGTCAAAGGGGCTATTTGCACAAGATAGACAAAAATGAAATGGGAGCTGGACTTAATTTGTACAATAATTGAGTCCCTGTTCAAATTATGCACTAACTAGGCAGCCAAGTCTTCAGGTAGCCCTGGTGCCAGCAGCAGCACCAAACGAAGAGTGGCATGATGGCCAGAGAATAGCAACTGCTGGCCAGGAGCCCAGTGGGACCAGAGAGCTATGAACTGCCAAGACTAATGGTGTGGGGGTTCAGCCCTGGCAAACCCTGGAGCATTTCAGCCTGGAATGGCAGCCAAAAATCAATGTCAAAACTCCCATTGATTTCAGTGGGAGCAGAACTGAACCCTGGCTTGTGCCTTTGTTTCTATATGTGAGTTGTGGGACATCCCAGTGATTTTTTTTTAAATTAACATTTGTGGGTTTTTACATAATTTGTATGCAGAGAATGAAAATCAGCAGTCTTACAGGATAAAGTGTTTAGAAATGGCACAAGTAACATTTAGGTTTAATTAAGATTTGTTTCCAACAACAATCCTTAACAGTCAAAATAGTTAATCAAACGTACAGGAAGTACAGACATACAGAATTATGCATACTTGCTATGTGGCATGGCTCACTTCAACAGCTTTGTTTTCTCAGTTAATTATTCTTACTAAATTAACACTAGCCCACACCAGTGAATTTGTAAGAAAAAGGGGTGCAAATTCTACAGCTGTACAAACTGATCTTACACTGCAACTTACCCAGCTGGAAGATAAAAATATTTGGCAGGGAATTAAACGAGACTGAAATCTTGATGCTGATCCAAGATGGTTTATATGCTTGTGGTCAAGTCATAATTACCACAGAGGAAGCTAATTAGCATTGGTCTAGATACTATAAAATACAATGAAAAAGAGATGGTCCCTGCTCATAGATCGTCCCGTCTAAGTAGGTTTGTTGATCTCAGTTCAGACTACAAGACTTAACTGTTTCTCCAGATTTAATTTATGGGAGCATTTGAACTGGGTTGAGGGGCTTTTGTGGTTAATGGAACTTTAAGACCTGAGGATGACCCTGTATAATTACTGCTTTTTTAGGAACTAACATGCTGTATACTATAATTTAAAATCTTGCCAGCTGGAATGGTTTGGAGTCTGAATTCCAGAATGGAATGAACTGCGGTATCTTGTCTATAAAGATCTACCAATTCTGCCAACTCCATTCATTTTTGTTAGTACTCTACTTTTCTTGATGTAGTTAACATCATTATTGTTAATTAAAAAGGCATATATATGGCTTATTTGATTTTGGAAGACCTAGAAATGGGAGAGCTCCTCTGGTTGCATTGGTATTGTTTTTATTTCAGATGTATGCAGAGGATCATATGTGCATGTGACAAAAGGAAAATATAACTATATTATATTTAATATAAATGTATTAATATACACCACATCTCCCTCTTCCCCCTTCTTCCCATGGAATGGATCATAGTCTAGCAATTAGGATAGTGGACAAGGTTCAAATTGATACTGTCATTGTACTTGTGCAACTTTGTGCAAACAAGGTAGCCTCTCTGTGCATCAGTTTCCTAGTCAGTCAAATGGGCGGTAAGGGGGGAGAATAAATCTAGTCATTGCCGTATAAGGGTGCTATGCAACTTACTGATTATTTATAAAAAGCTTTTGAAATCCTTGAACTAGAGCAGCAAGAAGCATTTTCAATTATTATGATAAAGGCAGCCCTTCTTTGAGGAGAATGCAAACCACCTATCGGGTAGAAATTATCACTACCATTTTACAAATAGGGAAACACACACATAGAAGTCAAGTTTCTTGTCTTGAGTCTCATAGCAAGTTGCTCAGGCTTGTGTCTTAGCTATCAGATTACACCCGTGGTCACCAACCGGTCCATCACAAGGCGTTTGGGCCCCTCCACCCCCCATTTTCCCTCCACCCCTGAGAAGCCCCACTACCTACATCCAGCGTAGTGCTGGCTTCCCGTGGGGTGGACGGAAGTCCTGCCTGCAGCTTTGCGCCACTTCCGGGGTTTCCGGAAGTGCACTGGCTGCTCCTCTCCCACAGCTCTGTGGTGTGCTGTGTCCTAGAGGAGGAGTGTGGCGGCTTCCCCCTGTACCGCAGGAGGGGTGAGTCGAGTGCAAGGGTTTCCCTGCACCACGGGAAGGGGGTTTGGTCCCGGGGCAGGTGTGCACAGGAGTTTGGCTGCACCACGGGAGCAGGGGTTGGCCCCGGGGCAGGCATGTGCGGGGGTTTGGCTGTGCTGCAGGAGCGGGGTTTGGCCCCAGCGCAGGAATGTGTGGGGCTTTGGCCCTGGGGCGGAAGGCAGGGGAGTAGTTTTGGCCGTGCCGCGGGAGGGGGTTTTGGCCCCGGGGCAGGGGGCAAGGGTGTTTGGCCCTGGGGCAGGTGCGCGCGGGGGTTTGGCTGTGCCACAGTAGGCTTCCCTCGGGAGCAGGAGGGAGGGAGAATCCTGGGAGGAAGCGGGTGCAGGGGATTCTCTGCCCTCACTGCCCCCTGTTCTCTCTCCCCCCTCCCCCGTCAGAACTGTCCCCACTCCTCTGTCCCCAGCCACAGAACTGTGTCCCCACCCACAAAACTCTGTCCCCAGCGGCACCCTATCACCAGCTGCAGAACCCTGTCCTCTCCCCTCCCAGCAACCTGTTCCCTCTCCCCTGCCCCCAACCGCAGAACTCTGTCCCCACTGGCACCCTGTCCCCTGCCGAAGAACCCATTAGCACCCTTCTCCAGTACTATGTCCCCTGCTCCCACCAACATAGTTGGGGCCACATTAGTGAAGCTTTTGGGGGAGGAGGCGCTGGAGGAGGGTTTTTTTGCATCTCACTTGTGTGGCCCCAACAGACTTTTCTGTGGGTCAGTGACCCCGACTCAACAGGTTCCATGCCCGTCTCAGAAATAAAGACAATGCAGAAACTTTTTGTGTTTGACACGGTATTTTATTTAAAAATGAAGTCTGGCCAACAAACCCCTAATTGGGGCCAAGTCCCCATCTGGCCACAGCATCATAACACTCCTGCACTCCCTTTTCCCCCAGACCGTAGATCTGAGCCTATCGTACACTGGAACTCCCTGCCCTGAGCCCCTCACATACCCCAACCCAAATTCCTGAACCCTCACATCCAGAAGTCTGTGGCTTGCTTAGTACCCTAAC